TAATGCTGCTGATACACTTTATTGTATATCTGAAATGTTTTTATTTCGCCCGGATTTCCACTTTAATTACTCCAAACTTTGACTGACAGACTGCAAACAAGTTTCTTTTATCTGAGTACTCAGCCGATGCATGTCCTAGCTCTTCCTTTTTTTTTGGGAGAGGGGGATTTACTTTAAGCGTTTTGAAGCGACTTTGTTCCCCCTGCTTTGTATGAGGATAAAGCAGACGTAATATCCTCAGCAAACAAGCCCAGCATCACACGTTTGGCCGCCTCGCACGCCTCTCCCCGCTGTAAGCATGTTTGCCGTTCCGTGATCTGTAGTGCAGCTGGCCCTCTGATGTTGGCAAGCGTTTTCAAAGCAGCTTTGCCAGCCCCAAGTCTCCGAGCTCAAAGAGGTATGTAAATGATTTTCCTGGCACTCTCCAAATGCTCATTCATCTCCCTCCTGCGGGACACTCCGCTACCCTCTCCGCGTCTTAATAAAAAAAAAATATCAACAATTGCAAGACGCGCGTCTCGGAAATATTATTAATTTCGAAGGACGCCGTCGTTCCCTTTTCCCCGAAATAGCTTTAAGTGAAATTGTAAAACTTGGAGGATGAAACGAAAGTCCATCTTGGGATTAATGCAGCTCGGTGTTCATGCGCGCATACGCTGCTTGCATTAAAAGCGCATATAATCATGCAAGTACCTGAATCTGACTCGTCATCAGCCTCTTGTAAAGCAGAGCTCAGACCAGGGGAGGTAGAAGCAGCACAGGGAGCCAGACAGTTGTGTTGCGCTGGTTATGTGCTAACAAAGAGCATGCTGTTAGGAGGAGAAAGCAGAGAGATGAGTTTATCAATCTGCTGCCCGTCCATTTACAGTCCAATCACAGGCTGGTGGAGGGACATGACCTGTGAGTGCGAATTAAAAAAAATAGGTCTCCCGCCCTGCCAGACAGGGCTGTCTGACGGTCACAGCTGAGTAAATCTTAGAACTGGATGGACAGAAATACGAGCTGTAGCTCACGATATTCTGAGCTTGGGGTCACGGGAGGGCGCTAGTTTATGTCCTCCTGTGACCCTTAAGAGAACTATGGGGAAAAACACTTACCCCATAGTTCTCTTTTAAGCTCAAGTGAAGGAGGATTCCCGACCCCCGAAATATGTTGGCTGTGCACATCATTTTGTCACCATTTGTGAACCCAGTAAAGGTTTTTTTGGACTCTGGAGATGATTAGCTGGTGCTCATTTTTTAGTCTTCATTCATCTGTACAGTGTATTGAGCACATGGAGTGTCTAGCATTACATGTCGGTAGAGCAGATGTCTACGGAGAACAGACAGTTTTTACTGTAAAAGCTAACACTTTTTAGGAGCTGCTCTTCATTTGACATATAGTAACATCAAGACTGGACAAATCCCAGGAGCTAAGTAGCCAATGCTCCTTACAAAATTACAGCTGGTGCTTCAAAAAGTTGCAAAGTGCCAGCATATAAGGATGGGCTCGGGCCTATTCGCTCGGGCCTATTCGATGTGATGCATTCTCCATTTCTCAACACTACATATCCCAACATGCCTTGCTTCCAGCAATCAATGAAAATGTTACATTGTTAAGATGTTGAGTTGGAATTCAAATGGCAGGCTCTGTGAGAATGGTGACATCAAGGAAGTGCATATTCGCAGGGCTGAGTGAAATGGTGTCAGTGCATTGAGGAAGTACATTTTATGGACATCTTTAGTTTACAAACTTCTAGATAGATATCGTTATTAGGAGTGAGATAGAACTGAAATTGAATATAGAAATACAGATTTATTTTTCGTTTTTGAACATTGCGGCCCACACCCTGGTGACACCATTGGAGGGGTGAGACCAAAATGACTAACAATTTGGTGTCACCCCCTCTGTAAAGTTGCTAGAGAAAGGAGGGGACCCGACGGGGGGACATTATCCCACTCTCTCTGCCATGGAACACCAGAGTCCATCACCAAGATGGCCACCCGGTACCCATTCCGGGTCACACCTTGCCTTTAGCTTTTTCTAGTTGTCAATGGAGGTGGCTTCTAAAAATGTCCTGCTGGCTCAAGGATTGGACATACTGTATACATTTGATTTGATGATGCAATGATTTGATTCTAAGCATGGTATTTGTTTGAGATGTGAGTGTGCGGGATTTAGACTGAGTAACTATATACTGTATGTTGGCCTATTCTTTGCCCAGAGCCAGTGGCAGAAATTAATAAGGTCACTGGAAAATTCAGATTTTTCTTTACTGGTTGAATTGGAACATTCTTAGCGATTCATAAGGCTGTTCGGCTGCTCTCAGGGTGACGGATCTTCTCAATGCCCCCCTTAGCTCTACAGGTTGCTTCCTGTTCAGCTTTTCTGCTTTCTGTGACACCGTCCTGCCCATTGGACAGAGATTATTATTATTATTAATATTATTTAGGATTTATATAGCTCCAACAGTTTGTGCAGCACTCTATAATATAAGGAAGACATTACAGTTACAATACAATTCAAGACGAGGGCCCTGCCCGTGAGAGCTTACAATCTAAATAATCATGCATTGCATGAGCTAGCTGGAGGTGGAAAGGTGACACAGGAAGTGGCAAAACTGAACCAGGAAATAAGTGTAATAAGTCACCTGTCTGCTTGTGATGGGAAGGGAGGGGGGACAGTTGTCGGAATCTCAAGAATGGCTGAAGAGATTTACAATTTCTTGGCAGTCAATACGCTTCACAGTTATGTGTTACAACATGAGCTTGAGTTCTTCTTAGATCCTCACTCATTTATGTATTGCAGTTATAATTAATTTCAGGTTGTAATGGAGTTTGATGCTGCTTACAGTGATGTTTTCAAGTGCCGAAGCAAGCTCTTCCTCAGCCAAGTCTGCTTGTCCTGTCATGACATTAGGCAAACAATATGGAGTCACTCAGGTCAAGGTGCGGCCTTCAAACATACTGTAGCGCTTTGTAAGGACCAAGAACAGTGTTAACCTCACTTACTCCTGTCCCTTATGTTCTCAGTTCAGTTACAGTAAATGTTCATTTCCATAATAGAATCTTGTCCAAACCAATTCATAATTCGTTTTGTATATACCTATCAGTAACTGTGACTTTTCAGGTGCTATGTCAATAATCCAGATCCATCACATTATTTGAAATATATTTCTATTTTAATTAATAAAAAGTGAAAAGGAAAATATTAAGTCACACACAAAGGCACCACAAGTCTCTAAAAACAGATAAGACGTAGTGTTTGAGTATTACCAAGGTATACATGTTGTTATTACCAAAATCCCTCCATTTAATCCAGAGAAACATAAGGGGTTATTCCCAATGCTGCCGAAGGCAACTGAATGAATAAAGGTGCCCATACACCTGCCGATTATCGTACGATAATCGGCAGGTGTATGGAAGGTGTGCGACCGTTTCTACTGTGGGGTCGCACGTCTTTTGTCTTCCGAGTACGCTGGAAAACCTGCCGAAATTCGTACGATTTTCGGCGGGTTGGTGGCGTGCTCAGAAGACAAATGCCAAACGGGTCGGTGTGCGCAAGCGCACACTCCCCGCTCAGCATTGCAGTCATCGGAAGCCCTCCCCCCAGCGGGGCGTGCTTGCGATAATCGCAAGTACGATCTGCCTGTCCAAAATGGGCAGATCATACAAGCTTTTAATTACCTTACAACCATCGCACGTTGAAAGTCATGCGATGGTTGTAAGGTGTATGGCCAGCTTAACTGAGCCGAAGCCTCTTCAGCTATTCACTGCAGCCGTGTATGGCTATTTTTAGCCGTACAACGGCAGCATTCGGCTCACTTCCTCTCTCTTTGGCTCAGCCGAACAGCCTCAGCACGTTCGGACGAAACGAAGGAAGAGCTATACTGTATATAGTGTATATGTATGTATACAGTATATATATATATATATATATATATATATATATATATATATACATAAAATATATATATATACAGCTTATATACAGTATATTTTATAACATAAACCTGTTTTTTGGGGGGCATAATAGGATCATCTATTTTTATGGATCACCATATCATTTTTTTATGACATCATCTTTGGGTTTGAGCACAAATGATCAATAAAGGAGGACTCCATTCATGATCATTATGGCCGGTCAATATACATAATATCAGATTTGTCACACTTTTCTTCTGTTTCTGCTTGTGAGTGGCAGCAGTACCTACAATGAATGCAGCAAACTCCCTTCACAGCAGCTGAGAGCGGCCTCCTGCAATCAAGGTAAGAGTATAGAGGAGGAGGCAATGCTGGATCAGACTGAATTGTGTGTATTGGTAAGTACATTTTCCAGAATTCACAGAATCAGAATGTTGGCTTTGTTTCCTGCTACAGGCCAAACACCTTATGCAATATTGCCTTTTGTTTCCTCAGGAGGTACATCCAAAAATAAAAACAAAAAAAAACCAGACAGGGGTAAATAGAAGTTCAGATTTTTTATTTTCATTTGTGTTGCCTGGAGTTCTCCCTTAAGTCACGAATGACCAAACTGCGAGGCTATACAGTATGTACCTGCGTGTAGAAGGGGTTTATTTTAAAGTGGAACTCCATCCACAACCTGTTGTGTGGATAGAGTGGGGACGTGTTAGATGCTCTGTTGAGTTATTCTTGTTGTCTGTGTCCCCAGTGGGTAGATTCTCCTCACTTCCTGCCTAGGTGGTACCCAAGGAACTGCTGTGAGCTGTTTTCTCTCGATGGAGTGCACTTTACATCTTGAGAATCTAAAGTGGGGGCAATGATGCTGTCACCAGTCCTTAGTGGCAATGTCCTGATTTTTATCCAAGGTAGGGAATAAGGAGAAATCTCCCCAGTAGTTGCATTAAAAAGTGGTTTAGCTCTTCCCCATTCTAACCAAAAATAGAGTTTTGTGTGGAGTTCAGCTATAAGGTTTGGAGGAGTGGGGTGCATAGTTTTGTCTGCAGAGCGCTCAGTTTTGCTGGACACTGACTGATGTGAGGTGGTCTGCATCTCTTGCAGAATGGAGAACCTCAGGATGTGTAAAGATCCTGCACCATACCAGGGAAACCCGGCCGTGCAAGGGATGCTCGCCCCAATGAAGAAGAGGCCGGAAGAAGAGAGTAAGTTGGCCTCAACGCTAACAACTTTTTCCCCTTTAATGCTGTTTTGCTTCCTATTCCTTACTTTTGCTGACCGAGCAGATTCACCATCTTTAAAAGGAGGTTTGGAAGAGCAATTATAAAGGTTGTGGCTTTATAAAAAAAATCTTCAGTCATTTTTAAGGTTCATGACTTCTTAAAGCTGAACTCCAGGCATCTAAAGAAGACTTTGCTTTGACATTCAGTACCTGCCCTTCCATGACGAATAGATTTAGTACAAACTAAAGATGTGCAAATGCACTATATAACCAAAAGTTTGTGACCGTCATGTCTACGGTATATGAGCTTGTTGGAGATCTTGTCCCAAAACCATGGGCATTGATCTGGAGCAGGCCACCCTTTGTGAATAGACCGGACTGCACTCTTCTGGGAAGGCTTTCCACAAGATTTTAGAGTGTGTCTGTGGGAAATTTGTCCCATTCGGCCAAAAGAACATATGTGAGGTCAGGTACTGATGTTAAACCAGAAGACCTGGCTCACCATTGGTGTTCCAATTCATTCCAAAGGTGCTCAGTAGGGTTCGGTTCAGGTACTGATGTTGGATGAGAAGACCTGGCTTGCCATTAGTGTTCCAATTAATCCCAAAGGTGTTCAGGACAGGTATTGATGTTGGATAAGAAGACCTGGCTAGGGTTTGAGGTCAGGGTTCTGTGAAGGCCACCACAGTTCCTCCACACCAAACTCATCAAGCCTTGTCTTTATGGAGCTGGTTTTGTGTACAGGGGTACCGTCATGTTGGAACAGAAAAGGGCCTTCACCAGACTGTCACCATAAAGTTGGAAGCTTACAATTGTCTAAAATATCTTCATAAACTAATGTCTGTCAATGGACATTGCATGGCTATGTGCTTGACTTTATGCACCAGTTATATTTCTATGTGTAATGTAATTTATTACATTATGTTATGCGTAAAAAAGCCCCTTATCAACTCTTAGTGAACCCTATTTTTCTTCATTAAATTCGTCATTCCTTTTTTTACTATTTCTTAATTTTTTTACTGTGTAAACTTTTTAAGTTTACGTTTGTTCGTGTTTGTAATGCCAAATGAAAAAAACAAACATTATTTTAGCTCTTTTATAAAAGGGACAAGTCGCTGAATAAAATTTGTAGTTGACTCTAATTATTCTTTTTTACCCTAAAAGCAAACTTGTGGTTAGCCCTTAAAGGAGACGTATTGGGGGAGTACAACACACTCTTAGAGCCGGTGTGTGACACTGCAGCTGTCACATATAGATCTATAGGCTCTATAGATCGAGAGCTGAACGATCACATACCACTGATCATTCAGCTCACAGTCTTCTATATGCAGACAGTCACCGCTCCCCGCAGGATTTTCCACCCTCCCCTCTCTGTTCCTCCTGTGCTCATTGGAGGGAAAGACAGGGGAAGGGGCAGGCACAGCTGGCTCTGGCTCTAGAGAGGCAGAGCCAGCTGTCAATCAGGCAGAGTGATGAATTCTGACAATATTGTCGGGATCCTTCCATGCTGCAGTACGGCTCTCATTCATTCCCTTTCGCTGTTTTTGTAATTCATGTTAGTTTTGGTAGTGCTGAATGAAAGCGCTCAGGTTGGGATGGGGATGGGTTAGACATTGGCATCCTCATCACAGGTGCCAGAGGACTGAACCCACTGAACCCTGGGTCGCGACCCACTTTTGGTTTAAGACCCACCAGTTGGGTGGGTCAACTGGGTGGGTTAACTGGTGGGTCTTGACCCAAAAGTGAGTCACGACCCCGGTTTCAGTGGGTTGCCTCGTGCCTTTCACTTTTTTAGGTGAGGGGCTCCTCAGCCTCCCCATAGCGCAGCACTGTCAGTTCTCACGTCAAGCAGCCATTCAAAATATGTTGCCCGGTGCCGAGTGTCAGCTTGAGGTGGGATGAGGCTATGGCCGCGTGGGAGCTCCATCCATACATGCATCGCTGCAGCTTCCTCACGTGCCCTGTAGAGGTTCCTGGACCAGAGTGATGTCACATTCTGGCTCCCAGCACCTCTACAGGGCACGCAAGGGAGCTGTACAAGCAATGCACATTGGGATGCACAAGGCTCTCCTTATAGCAGCAAAGATTGGCGGCTCTGGCAGTTGAATATTCAGTTTTCATTGCAGTGTGAACTTTATTTCACATATTTATTATAGTCTCTTTAAAACAGGTCAGTTATAAAATCTGAATTGTAGCTGGCTGATTCTATTTTTCCATCAGTCACCAAGGTTAGATTACTAATTAGAGTAAATTAATATGGATTCCACTGGATATTTGCGAGAACCGTTTATCCGCACCCGTAATTGGCACTATATATTTCTCTTTATTTCAAGCCGCGTTCAAATTAAATTTCTTGGATTAATTACCTACATCCAATGCGATGTGACCAGATGGTCCTGTTTGCAGCACTCCTTTGTCAAAGGGGCGATTTCACTGAAGGATGGAGCATGCCAAGAGTTTGCTAGTCGTCAATCACTGGAGCCTTTTTTTTTTTATCCGATTAACCGATTAATCGAACTTAATAATCGGCCAACTAATCGATTATGAAAATAATCGTTAGCTGCAGCCCTACTCATGTTAAAGGTACATCAAAACTTTTTGGGAACTCCCATATGTAGAATAGTTCAGCTGCGTTTGCAGATGGCCGGTTTATCCATTTACCTAATTGTCAGAGCTTTTTCTTCAGGGTATATTAGGTTCATCCATTGATAAGTCTATTTTATTAGACAGCATTCTACAAAACAAAGTATTCTATAGCAACTAATCAGTAATCGTCTTTCATTGTTGTGAATACCCTGGACTAGCAAAAGCTGAACTCTGGGATAAGCAAATATTGTCTGAATACAAGAGTCATGTGTATCCTACCTTGAATCTCAGTGAGCTTTGTGTATTTCTTCCAGATCTGTGCAGTAGTCCAGTGTGAGACTCGGGGCTTCCTGTAATAAAGACCGGTCACTGCTGCTCTGTCTCCTTGTGCAGGGTGACTGGTCTTGTCTCCCCCCCCTCCTGTAATAAAGACTGCTCACTGCTGCTCTCTCGCCTCGTGCAGGGTGACTGGTCTTGTCTCTGCTCCCTCCTGTAGTTTTCAGCCAGTAGTGAGTGGGACCTGCTTCGTCCCTCCTACCGCTCTGCTCTCTGCACAGGTTATGCACAGCACAGAGAGGATGTCACAAGGCCATAACTAGGTGTGCATGTTTTATGTTACACCCTCAGTATAGGTATAACTTGAAACACGATCCTAAAAAGTGGAATTATTCTTTGTTTGGTGTTCAGGTTGAAACGTGATTGGTTGCTTTGAGTTCAGCATTGCCCTCTCATGGCTCCTTGCTCTATCCCAGGGGTAGGCAAACTTCGGAGCTCCAGCCGTGGTGCAAATACACGCCCCAATAGGCATTGCAAGACTCTGACAGCCACGGGCATGACTCCTAGAGTCAAAGACATGATGGGATTTGCAGTTTCAGCACAGCTGGAGGGCCGGAGTTTGCCTACCCCTGCTCTATCCTACTTGCACGTCGGTTTGACTCTGTAACAAAAGGGTTAAATCAGGCTTTACCAAGCACTGTTATGTAATCCTTGCAGAATTGCCATTTACACCTTCTGACATGCTGTTAGCAATACACATACCGCCATACATAAATATGCATAAATGACGTTACTTAGCTTAGGGTGTGTGATGGTAATTACAGCTGATGATGAAGGTAACTGGTTACAGATGGTGACAGCAGAAGTAGCAGTATTAAGGTGCCCATACACTGCACGATTATCGTACGATAATCGTATGCGATCGGGTTTTCGTACGATAATCGAGCAGTGTGAACAGAGACGTGCGACCGTTTCTACTGTACGGTCGCACGTCTTCTGTCGAACCAGCATGTTCGAAAACCAGCAGGGAATCGTACGATTCTCGGCTGGTTAGAACGGTGCTCGGAAGACAAATGCTGAACGGGCCGGTGTGCGCACGCGCACACTGCCCGTTCAGCATTGCGGTCATCGGAAGCCCGCCCCTCAGGGGGGCGGGCTTGCGATGATCGAGAGTGCGATCTGCCTGTCCAAGATAGGCAGATCGTAAGTTTTTTTAATCCCTTTACAACCATCGCAAGACTAAAGTCTTGCGATGGTTGTAGAGTGTATGGCCACCTTAAGCATCAATCCCTTCCAGTCGGGGGCCCTGTGATCTCTGGTGTGTCACACTTTAATGATTCTCAATTTAATAGTCAAATGACACTCTAGGGCCTATTTATAAAAATGTACCTCTTCTCAGTCTGCTGTAGTTTGAATACATTGAAGGTCATTGTGTCTTAATCTCCACTGTATTTATATAATAAAGTAATTGTGCTGAATTGTGATAGGTTATGGTGTTTTACCATTTTAAGATCTAAAGCAGCTTCATCCAATGACCTTGGCCAACCCCGCTTCGTGTGTGTTTGGGAGCACTGACATTGGCTCCTGTGTGAATGATGTGTGCAAACAGTGGCTGCAGACTTTATCCATAAATACACGTTTGTGGACACCTGACCATCATGTCTACAATATGACCAGAAGTATGTGGACATTGACACTGATAGAGTGCAGATGTGTCCAGTGAATGGACCTGTTAATGCTACAGGATACGAAGACACTTTAGACCAGGGGTGGGTAACGCCGGTCCTCCAGTTGTGCTTAACTACAAATACCAACATCAGTGGCGTCACAAGGGGGGTGCAGGGGGTGTGGTCCGCACCCGGGTGACACTATTGGAGGGGTGACACCAAAATGACTGACAGTCAGTTTGGTGTCACCCCCTCTAAAAAGTCGGGCACTCGGTCATGGACGTGTAACTGTTAGTCTTATGGGACTTGTAGTTACAATACAGCTGGAGGACCACAGTTGCCCACCCCTGCTTTAGACAAATGCATGCTTCCAACCTTATGGTAACAGTCTGGTGAGGGCCCTTTTCTGTTCCAGCATTCCTACAGGCACACTCCAATATCTTGTGGAAAGCCT